GAGCGTTTCTCCATCTATTACCGGCGGCTAATGCAGGAAATGGGGTAGAAGCCTATTTTCAGGTTTAGCCTGCATGTTAAACTCATAGTGACTGCTCACATTTGAAAAGTAACAAGTCAAACCCCATTTCTCAGTGAACTTGGTCTTTAAGGAGCGACACGATACTAAAAGGGGGAAAAATGTAAAACTGGAGGTACTCTAAACATTTCTTTGCCCAGTGTTGTGATGTTGGAGAGCTTGCTTTGAACAAAACCTTTCACACAGTTGGAGCAAAAACTGGTGAGTGTAAGGACTGTATGCACCTCACATCATTTCACACTCATAAACCATTCAGTGACACCTCATGCCCCGAGGATATGGGCATTGTCATTCTGAAAGAACCTGCTCCCATCAGAATGGAAATAATTGGACACAACTTCTCATCCAAAATAAATGAGCAGGTTCCAAAGTCTTTCTCTCCGTGATCCTAGAGTTGCAGCCTTCACAGCCTCTACTGCATCAGCTGTCAAAACTACCAGGATTGTAATGACAGAAAATAAACAGATGGAGTAATTGGAAAACATTAAATTAAGCACTTAAAAGATTGATGTGAAGGTGTTAAATATGTTTATTGTATTTTTTCAGATCTTAATGAAATGAATGCAAATCTAACTTTGGAGGAAACTTTTGTGTCCATGTGTTGTGGATAACTGTCAGCCTTGATGGGAAACGTGATCCAACCAAGCTCGCATAATACTGGTATGAAATTGAAGCCAACAAAAACTGCAGTTCCACCCTCATCCACTGGGGGCTGGTGTCAGAAGCGAGCAAATCCTCATTGACTCCCATGTTAAAAATACCAATTTCACAGCAGAAATAAACATGTTTACAGCCTGGTTCCAAAACATGTTTTAGGTTTAAATTATCTAGTTTACACTCATGACAACTCTGAGGGGGTGAATTTTTTTTGTCACTCTTCTGTTTAAGTGTATTAAAAGCCTAAAATTCTGAATAATTAATGAGCATCAGACCCACGTGACCACAGAGCTAGCTCCAGCGAAAGGCTTCAGCCTGAGCCTCGGCCTCGCCTGAAAACTGTTCGGTCATTTTTTAGTCTCTCAACTTCAGACCATTAGTTGTAGCGTTTGTGTATTCTTTTTTGGATATTTTTTGTGCAATTGTTGGACAAAATGACTTGCTGTGGCATTAATTGCACTAATAGAGCATCCAAGGAGTCTCCACTTCATTTTTTTTTTGGTAAGTAAAATTATATTTATGTATTTTAGGTCACTGCCGAGCTGAGCTTAGATTTTAACATGTACTGTTTAACCAGGAAATTTAAATGTAATAGGGTAAAACCCAGTGCATTTAACATAATGCTGCACCTTAGAAAATGGGTTGAAATATAACATGTTGGCGGAGCGGAAATCCGACTATCCGTATGGTCCCCTCCCTGCAGCTCGGCGCATCTCTGATTGGAGCGGCGCCTGTCTGCTGCGCGGGCTGCCGGCTTGTGGAGCTCTCGGAAGGAAACTGATGTTTTCCACCCGGTGCTCCCCAGCGGCAGCTCAGCACATCACTGATCACCGCGGCGCCTGTCTGCTACGTGGGCTGGCAGCTTGTGGAGCTCTCGGGAGACCTTTGTGTTCCACCCGGTTTTACCCAGGGGTCAGCTCGGCGTATCTGTGACCCAGAAGCTCTGGTGTTGTGCACAGTTAACTCCGGTTGTAGCTAGATTGTTACCTCTGTTAGCTTTGCTCCCACCTCCGCGTTAGCTTTGAGTTAGCTTGTAGCTACATCGCTTCAGTTGGACAGGTGTCGTCATTTGATCCCAGCCTTACAGCCCCACGCTCAGCTACACCTCTCTTCCCTTTTTTGGAATTGTCTGGGCTTGAAGGAACCTGTGACACGGTCAAAATGGCGGTGGTGGCCTCCTCCCATTTTGGCTTACAAACTTATTATTGGAGCCTATGGACACGCATTGTCCAGTAATTATGTCGATGGATCCAACACCAGCATGGTCCTTACTGAAGAATGAGTCAGCTGATACGACAGCATGACAGCCAGGTGTAACCCCCACACTGTGTTTGGTTACTAACAGATTAATAGTGTAAGAGCTGTGGTTTTTGACCCTCAGCAGTGCCTGTAGGGGGCGGGCTCAACTCTCCGGTTGTGTGCGTGCTCGTTGATGAAGTGAGAGAGAAAAGAGAAGGGGAAAAAAAGGAGAGCTGATCCATGTGTGCAGTGAGAGACGTAGAACAGTTATAATTATAAAAAAAAACTGAAACCCGAGAAGATCAAGTGTGTGAGAAGTGCTGTTTGGTGTGATAACACTGATTGAACCACGGACATTGAGACATTGGATAGCTGTTCATTTACTGCGGAAACTCAGATTGCTTTTTATTTCCCGATGAGAACCTTCTGAGATCTTCAATTCAGTGGATGAAGTTAAACGACATGATGGAGAGCCAGAACCATGACGAGACTTCAAAGATTCCTGTTAGTAGACCGGCCAGCTGCTACAGGAGTCTACTGTGAACTCATCTTGGAACATTGGAACTCTCAGGGATTTCCAACTAAGGAGACACACACACACACAACCCTACCCGAGTAGTGTACATTAACAGCGTGAGCTGTAGAATCATACCCAGAAAAGGAGAGATCTGAACAAGAACTGAATAAGTAAACAAGGAATGAAAGCAAATCCAATTCCTTTGTAATTCTATTTGTTTTGTTTTGTTGTTGTTTTTTAGAAAAGAGCTCTTTTTGGGGGGTTTATTATGTTTGTTTGTCACTGAAAAAGGGATCTCAAACGTAAATATGTTATACATTACTGCAATAAACCTGTCAGTTTATAACTAAAGATCTTCTTTATTACTCCTCAGAACCAAGAATTTATTATCATTTATCCACCACAATATTTGGTACAAGTGCTACACAGGCATATGCTGTTAATGCACCAAGGGCAACATTTCTAACGCCTTTAATTAACTCAGAATAGTGTTAATACATTTGAAGGCAAAATATAATATATATACATATATACATATTTTCTTCTTGAGTACCCACACTCCATCCAGACAGAAAAAAACAACTGACCTCTCCACCTGAGGATGAAGAGGGCAAAAGCAGACAGATTGCTCAGTGACTGGAAGCAGAAACCCGGTTCACGCTGCACCTGCTGGGCTGCAGCGCTTCACTCCTTTGCTCCTCACTCTCAAGAGAAACAGCACCATTCCAGACCCCTCCATATCTGAGCTCGTTCCCCCATTCATTTTCCTTGTAAAGTGAAGGTTCTAGGTTATGCATTTTGTGGTGTGAGGCGTTTCCTCCTGCTTTGAGTACCACTGTACAGAAAACAGACCTCCAATAAGTCTAGCTGCTGCACATTAATCACCGCAGGAGTTCTCAGCCTGCCGGAGCTCATATCTCTTTGAATAGTGGGAACGGGAGGACAGCACGGATCTCGGATTGATTTTCACAAAGAGCAAACAGAGAGTCAGGGAAAGTGGAAGCACAGGAAATACGGCATCAAAGCTGCACTGATCTGACACACAAGGTGAATCAAATTGATGCAGCTGAGCTCTGCTGTGACATTTTTTCAAATAGAAGCGTTAACAACTAACAGGTGCGCTGGGACACGTCACACGTGTGAGGAGCAGCATCCTTTTTAATGGACACACGCCCATTCACAGACAGGGATAACAGTGTGGATAAATCTCCTTTGTTAGCATCGTTTGGATCAGTGCAAACACCTGGAAGACAATTTCCACACAGGAAGAAACCTTGAGCTGTGAGCTGCTCCAGGCAAACCGGATCCCTGCTGACCGGCCTGCACCGTCCTTGTCAGCTTCTTAAATAACAAAATAACCTTCGGAATAATTCAATTGTTATGGTTGCACGCGGAAATAATCCACAAACAGCTGTTACAATAAAAATGCCATTTCCCCCCCGGCAAATAGCATTTCACAAACAATAGACAAATATTTGGCTATAAAGGCGAGGCGTCAGGGGAGAGCTTACCTTGTTCTATTCTTTGCTTGAGCTGTTATTCACAAGAACGACTAAAAGTCGGCTGTTTCACAGGAAAGTAAAGCAGGAAATATGAAACATCCTAAGCACAAGGTCCATTTTGTTCTATCAAATCCAAACCCCTCGAGTCTGGAATGCAGCAAACACTGAAATAAAACACCTTCAAGCGCTTCTTGTTGCTCCTCTGGAAGGAGGTTTGCTTCATGTAGAAGTTTAAAAATGTAAATATGGTGAATAAAAGCACATCCAGTGCGTGTTCAAGGTGTTCTTTGTCAGTCAATTATGCAAATATGGATACTGGAATGTGGCTGGAGGGGAGATTCATTTCCATTACGGCTCAGATTCACCAGAAAACAAATGAGACGTGCTGCAGAAATAAAGCGTTATTTCACAGGGCTGGGGATTAGCCTCGCAGCAGGTGCAGAGCACTAAAGTAAAAGGACATGAAGCAAGCCAAAAAAATCAGATTTTCATTATCTTTTAAAAATAAAACATTTTAAACGGATGAAAGAACTGCATCAAACACTTAATGAATTAAACTTTTCGTCTTTTAAGCTGCAAAATGCAGAGGAGGGTAGAGGCTATTTAAATCTGCCTGCTCTGAGAGCGTGCTGCTAAGTCAATCAAGAAACAAGTTATTTTTCATTTTTACCGCAGTCGGAGTGATTTCAGTGTTCACTCATCAGTGAAACCTTGTGTCAAAGGAAAACCAAAGAGGAGAGCGCACCGCTCACCTGCTATTACATCACATCATCAAACCCCGACCAAATCCTGCTCCTGATCAAATGGAGGCACTCTCGTGGCTGTGCACCGCAGACTAGATTGCATTCTGACCTTTTAGAAGTGATGGAGCCTCTCGCACCATATTATATGTCCACATATACACACAAAGTAGACACACTGACTTGCACAATGAAGCTGAGGACAGAACTGTGCAGAGATGAAAAATAGAATAAAAGAAGTGGGTAAACAGGAGCCAGCAGACCTACCTTTGAGGATGCTCTGACCGTGCAGCTTGTCTCTTGAGACAATCACCGTGTAGAAGTTCTGGGAAAAGCCAGGTCTGCAAGCTTTCTGGAGCTGGCCTGTCCTACTCCCCTAAGGAAGAAAAGAAAAAGGCTTTCATTATTGGCTAACTAACTTCAGGAGCTGATGTCAGACTTTTGTTTGTTTGTTTGTTTGTTTCAGAAAGTCATTTAGTTGCAGCATGGACAACCATTATGAATTTCCTTTGGAGTAAGGGGTGGAGGGGTGGACACCTCACAGCTAAATGTATAAATAAATATTTAAACACTGGCCACTTTATTATGTGTACCTCGCAGATGTATTTAGGAACTTGTTTTTCCTTCATGAACGTCTGACATTGATTGAAGACGTTTTGAAACAATCTTCACAGATTCTGGTTCAGAATGACGTGATAGCTTCAAGGAAGTGCTGCAGGTTTGTTGGGTTAGGGTTAGATGCTCCACATCCATGAAGTGATGTCATTACCATCTCAGTGGCCTAGTGGTAGAGTGTCTGCCCTGGGAATGGGAGATCAGGGTTCAAATCCCAGTTGGGTATTGGCGGGTAGACCCAAAACCTCCTTACCTGACACATTCCGAGCGCAGCCATAGCGGCAGCTCACCGCTACCCACAGGGATGGGTCAGTCCTGTGGCTAATGGGATTTTAACTCAGAAGTGCTGGATTGGACTTAAATCGGATGACTGGAGGCTGTTGGAGTCCAAAGAACTCATTGGCATTGTCAAGGAACACTTAAAAGACTATTTGAGCTTTGAGACATGATGCATTGTCCTGCTGCAAGTAGTCACCATGTGATAAGGGGATGGACTTGGTCAGCAACAATAATGGTAGGCTGTGGTGTTTAAGCCTGGCTCGTGAGGTCGAGTACATTTCCTTGGTACAATTCCACCAGCAGTAGGATGAACTGTTGACTCAAGACAGGATGGATCTGTGCTTTTATGATGTTTACACCAGATTCTGACCATCTGAATGCCATCCATCCATTCTCTTCCGCTTATTAGGAGTCGGGTTGCAGGGCAGCTGCTTAAGCACAGAGGCCCAGACTTCCCTCTCATCAGCCACTTGGGCCAGCTCCTCCCTGGCCAGCTGAGAGACGTAAGTCCCTTCAGCTTGTCCTGGGTCTTCCTTTCTGAATATTGCAGCTAAAATCAAGACTCATCAGAACAACAAATGTTTCTGCAATCTCGTATTGTCACGTTTTGCTGTGTCTGTGTGAATTAAAGCCTCAGTGAACACGTCTTAGCTGACAGGACTGATGCCTGTGTGTTTCCTGCTGCTGAAGATGGTAAACTGCAGCCCTTGGTCTTAACCAGTAATTTTTAATCAGCTAGACCCAGCCTGCCTCTCTTCTGACCTCTGGCATCAACACGATTTTTCATCCACAGGGTAAACCCCTAGAAACAGTTAAGAGTTGAAAATCCCAGTAGATCAACAGTTTCTGCAGCCCTCTGAGCAGCCTGTTAGGCACCAATAATCACGCCACGTTCAAAGTTGCTTAAATCCTCTTTTTGTTTCATTCAAAGCCTCGGTTTCAAATCCAGCAAGTTGTCTTCTCCACAGCTGTCTGCATTGCACTGATGTTGGCTAATTTGTGTTAACAAGCAACTGAACAGGTGTACCTAATAAAGTTTATTCCGTAGCCACATGAATCAATTTTGATATATTTTGTACCGGTCTGATGCTGACCAAGCACAGATCCTTGATTAGAGTAAAAAGGAAAAGGAAAGACATCAACTCTAACTGGGAGCATCAGGGACAATGAGCTGCCGTGAGCACAAAGAAAAAACATGCAGCAAAATGCTAAAGACAATTAGTGAAATTCATTAAATATTGTGAATCACTTCGTACATCAACACTAGTCTTTATTTTCTTTATGAACTTTTCTTAACCGACTCGTTGTCTGCACGTCAGCAAATCCTAACATTTCACCATGATTTTCTGCACGATTCCTCTTTCAGTTTGCAAAATAAAGAAAGGATATGTCTCACTTTTACTCCTTAAATCAACCTTTACTCCTAACAGAATAATCCCTGACCGCAAGCAGAGAAGCCCGCCTGCCAAGCCCCTCCGGAAAGAACCGACTGTCCACTGCAATCACATGCACTGCAGTTTCTCTGGAGCTGCGGGCGGAGAGAGCCTGGCACTCAAGAGTGCTCGGTGACTTTTCCCCTCCATCCCAGTTTGGCAAAAAATACCCCTCACTAATAACGTCCGTCACCACATGCCATTAATGCTGTCGGCGGCGCAACACCAAAAGGACGCAAAGTGACGCCACTTTCCGAGCACTCCCGCAGCGCGCCGCAAAGCTTGAGTAAGCACTACAGCAGTGCAGCACTGTCTGAGCCCAGCAGACAAGAAGAAACGAACTCATCTTACCGAGGATGCGCCCACAAGTAAGGTGCACACCAACTGGACCAGCAAGCGGACCTTCATCTTTGCAAAAAACCCGCCGGTTTAGAAAAGGAGAAAACAAGAAAAGATGAGCCTTTCTCGGTCCTGAACGCCTCCTTAATTCCTGGATTCCCGGGGCTTTTTTCCTGATCCTCTCCAGTGCAGAGTAAGAAAGCTTCCTTTACTTCTCTGTGGCGCAAAAGTGCCGCTGAGATGGAGATGCTGCGCTCGGTCCGGAGAAAGCCGATGCCCATTGGACGGCAGCGTCACTCCAACCCCTCCTGCCCCGAGGCGGTGCGAGCACGACGGCGCGCACCGGCTGCTCTCAGAACAGCTGATGATGATGATGAAGATGATGATGATGCCACTTCAGGGATCTGAAAAAAATGCTTTTTATTTATGGTTTTATTATTATTTATTTATTTCCAGCCCATTCAGACTCCTATTTCTGACCCAGACGGAGCGGCGGTTTTGTGTGAATGACAAGCAACCATCCGAGTCCTTTCATGAGTCCATCAGCTAACTGGAGTCTATTTCACACCCCAGTTACTCCTCTGCCCCTGATCCGGGATGGAGGTAGCAGGAACCACCGAGTTATTAACTTTTTATTAAAGCTGTCACGATAGAAGTCTGGAAGAGAAGATGTTTGATTGTGGATGAAAAGCTCAAATAAAATAAAGTGCATTGTGTCAGAAGCCTGGGAGATAACCTGGGACCGCGTTTCCATATTCTTCCTCTTCATTTGTTCCAGGGTTCGAATTTTATTGGAATATGAACATTGAAGAGATATTTTTGGCAATTTTTAAGCATAAAATGTATAAATAACCTAACCGTTATGGATGACGTCGTGAACAGCCTCAGTTCAAATAAATAGCTTTCCCTCTTGAACATAAACGCTAAAGGCTAGCCCTTTGGCACTCGAGCTTTGCTGGTGTGCAGTTTTTACCCATGAGCATCACCTCACCCCTGACCTCAAGGGATAAACCATCAACTTTCCTGGCGAGGTCACCCATGAAGACAGTGGGAGGGTTAAATAGATACTTTGCTGCTTTTTCATATTTTAAAATCATTTTCTTGCTAAAATGGCCCTTTACAAGGTTAATGAAAGGCCACCCAGCTCCTATTGTCCCTTGTGGCCAGAATATTCCATTTGCAACTTCAGAGATGCCGGTCCGGTCTGTTGGATCTTGGGGGAAAAAATGGAGCTGACATAGCTGGTGCTGCAGTCTGGTTCCAGCAGGTTTCCTCTATGTTTTACATCATGAACACGGCTGATTTGTTTAATTTAGTGATGGATCACTCCTGTAGGCGCTAATGGAGGCTGGGAGACATTTCAGCTCTTAGATTCAGGTGTTAAAAAGACACAGCAAGGAGACAGATTTTGCTTTTGATTCTACAAACAGACACTAGGGGGTGCTAAAAGAAAGTCACAGCTGCTTAGTCTCCCTTCAGATTTCCCTGTTAATTTTAAATTGCCAAGACTTAATCAAGATTAACATTGATTTATACATTTAAAATGGTTTACTTTTTAGAATTTACTAATGAAAAACTAAAAAAAAAGCAAATGGAGTTACTTTGCAAAGCATATAACTCCTAACTCTTCCTAACACCCATTGTTATTATTTATTTCAGGTGATAAGTGTCAAACTAAAGTTTGGAGATTGTTTTTAAAGTGACGATATGTATTTTCCTTGGCAATAGGGGGCTGTACATACCTAAATCATTGCAAGCAAGCAGTATTTTAGCGTTTGAGTAAGACCTTACCAATGGATGGCCATTAGGCTCAAAAATCCCGCAACCTCCAGCAAAATGATAAGCACATCAGACTCCCTTTCATCGCTGGCAAGTGAAGAGGTAAATGTGCAAAACACCAACGTTTATGAATGGTGAGCTTTGTAACATTTTGTTACTAATCAGTAAATTTGGTCCTCACAGGCTCCTTTAGAAGGAAACATGGTGTCTAATATGGCATCGCGAGCAGACTTAGGTCCAATCTCAATACTCGCACTGCGCCCTGCGGTCTTCAGCAAAGTGCACTTGGAGAAAGTGCTCGAGTGCGTGATACACGTGTGCAAATAATTGCAGAATTGAGACAGGGAACGTTGTGTCATTGATTGCATTGCATGCCGGGATGCTGGTTGATGTGATACATTTTTCAAAAACCTTTATTAACAACTTTCAAACAAACAACCAAACAATTATTTGAAATAAATTTACATTCATTGCTGCTTTGTCTTAAACATTCAGAGTCACAACTTATCATCCAAAAATGAACTAATTTCATTAGAAAATACATATTTTCAGAAAAGGATCTTGAGCCGTTTTTCCCGCAGCAATGGATTGTGGGTAATACCCTTCACCCAAGTCAACATCGCTGCAGACTTGGGTGAAGTGCCGATTCTCAAGTGCGGAAGCTGATCATGCCCCTTTTGCACCCTTGATCTGCACTTTACCCAAGTCTGCAGCGATGTTGACTAGGGTGAAGTGCAGATCAAGGGTGCAAAAGGGGCATGATCAGCTTCCGCACTTGAGAATCGGGACACCCTACGCACTCGCACCCCTGGTCGAGATTGTGCAGTTGAGGGGCGCAAGGGTGGAAGTGCGAGTATTGAGATTGGGTCTTAGACCCGCCCCAATGTATTTTAGACTCCATTTTTATAGTTATGTGTTTTAAAGTGTTTTTTAACATCTGTGCATCATTTTACTAATTTTCAACACCATTTCAACGGTTGTTTCCAGAGATAAACTGTAAAAACTACACATAGTCTCTTTAACTTCAGAATCCAAAACTATTAAGCTAAAATCCACTTCTCTCTCAACAATAACAGGTTAAAGTTAAACCGCATAAAATATCCAGGAAGCCATTTTTCACTTTTCATTGTCTCGTTGACTCTTTTTTTTATTTATTTTTTTTACAAAACTTTACATGCCTTTAGTTTAACATTCCCGTTATGGAATTCTGTGGTTATTTACACATTTGAATATTGTCATCAGCACACTGTAACACCCAGGGAATCAAGGGTATCGCAGAATTAGTGCCAACTATGCGACGACTAAACTATTAAATAATGAATCCAAAATAATGAACAGCTGTGCCTTTAACTACTCCAACCAGTCCAACAGTTTAATAATGTTGACATTTTCAAAGTCTCAGATCAGCGCCTCAATTTCCATATCTGAGAGGTCATGACGACTTAATCCCATCAAAAGGAATATGACAGTATTGCTGTGTCAATCAGCCCAGAGCTCTGCTCCTGTCACCTCCCAGCCGTCTGTACATGACAAACTCCTTCAATGTTGAAAAAAGAACTCTGAACACTTCTTTCCCTTTAAACAAAATCTTCAAAAACGAACCGCTCAAGGGTGATAATTAAGACGTGCTTCTAGCTGAGAAGACTACAGCTCAGTGGGTGTTTCTCTTCAGTGGGTGGGATAGTTTTTTAAGGTCAGAGACATAAAAAATAAACTCGACTCATCTCTCTTCCTGGCATTGTGCTTTTTTTTTTTTTTATTATACCCTGGAACACTTGGCAGAGCCACTGTATGACAAGGCTTTAAACCCACTCTCTACGATAAACAATGACTCCTAATAAATATCGTCACATTTCCTCACATGGGACCGAATGCTGACAGGAAGAAGAGTTCAGAAGGAGACCGAGCTCTCACGGAGAAGATGACAGAGTGTGAAGAGCGGGATGTCCCAAAGATTTAAACACTCATGCTTTTTTTTGTTAGTTTTATTCCCTTTGAACCTAATAAAAAGAGAAACACAGATCATAAAGTTGACCAGGGGCAGGATGTCGCCTTCTGTCTGCGTCACTAACATTTCAGCACTTCACCTTTTAAGATACTCACAGTTTATCCTTCCTGTAAAAAAATAAATTACAGCTTCATACTGTGCTACAAACACTAATATCCCTGAAATTACTGTCTCACAAAGACACAGTCAGCTTCAGCACTGTGTAGCACGGCTCAAACGTGAACCAACACTCTGGAGAAAAAAAAGAAACAATCCTTTCAAGTGAGGAGCATCTGCCTAATAAAAATACCATCTGGGCACTTGAAGTGAATTGGTTTAAGGCCATGTTGAATTATTGAACACATTTCACAAAAGCAGGTCCCGGTTTTCGTTTACAACAGATACACCTTAGCACAGGTGATGCAGGGTGGCCGACTCTCTGATTCCTAATGAAGACGTGTGCGTGCTTGTGGACAGCCATGTGTAAAATGTTACACTTATGAGTAAAACGTTTGATTTTAACAACATAACTTAAGATCTTTATAAGAACAAAACACTTGGATGAGTCGGAATGGTTGCTGTGTTTTTTATTGTGAAATTTCAGAACATCTGTAAACTCTTGGGGATTATATTCACTATAAACAAGAAACTGTCACAGACGTGAAATCATGAACAGCCATATTTACATTTGAGAAATATTATTGCTTTGTATTTGTGCCACTTTTCTGTTTGCTCCTCTTTTAGCTTGTTTGTATGAAATAATCAAAAACACTTTGGGACAGTAGGTCCATTAACCAACCTCTAACTCATCATTGACTAACCACCAGTTCATAATTAAGTGCAAGTTCATCACTTTTTAACAATTAGCTCATTATTAAAACCTTCTGTGTCTGTTATATTGATGTGAGCCTTCATCATCATTAGTTCACCACGATCCAATCAGTCATTTAAGATTAAACAACCATTAATTTATCATCGACTACTAGTTAGTTACTAAGAACCTGATGGCCGATCCATTAATTCCACAGAACATGTTGTTGCCCTCTCTGTTTCATTTATTTAGAAAACAACAGGTTCACAATATTTTTCTTAAATTTCTCACTTTAGTAAAAGAAAAATGAACTATGGTGACGTTCACAAAACAATTCATTGTTTTACATTAAACTAACATTCTGTCTAAATGAATCAATGCAGAACTAGTCAGTGGGACGGCCAGAGGCTGGTGCCACTGGACTGCTGGGCCAGTAGCTGCTTGTTGACGGATTAAACATCTAACATGTCTGGACCAACTGACATGAGAAAAGAATAAACACCAATGACATGGCCGATGGTTCATGATGGTAAATGGTAAACGGTTTGTATTTGATATAGCGCCTTCTAGAGTCCTGGAACCCCTCAAGGTGCTTTACAACACAATCAGTCATTCACCCATTCAAACATTCATTCAAACACTGGTGGGAATGAGCTACGATGTAGCTGCAGCTGCCCTGGGGCACACTGACAGAGGTGAATCTGCAGTACACAGGCACCACCGGTTCCTCCAAACACCACCAGCAAGCAAGGTGGGTGAAGTGTCTTGCCCAAGGACACAACAACAGCAAACAAACTGAGCGACAACACATCAGTTCACTGGGATGGAGAATGCAAGTGTGTTGGCAGGACCTCTGCTCCTCCATCCTTGTCCTGCAGCTCTCTCAGAACCACTGCCACATCATCATGCACCATGTCCTCACACCAGTCTATTTAGAGAAGTCAGATCCTACTCACCTCTCAGTCCTCGTTTTAA